CCATCCAGCTGGTAATGTCCGTCTGACTCCAACTACTGTGCTATGATCTCCCTTAGCTTTATTGTCCAGACTTGCAAATTGGAGAGAATGTTTGCACTTTATACCTCTATAGCAGTGTTTCTCAAATAGTAGTTCATGGCATATAAGTGGCTCATGAAAACAATGTATTGGATAAACATAGAATCGAATAGGATAGGATAGGAATAGAAAATATCAGAATGTGTCATACTTACTATGCCTGAAAACTTTTGTTTCTGATATGGTGTAGGGGTGTGTGCCTGTCTGTTTATGTATGTGTGTATTGCTTGGTAAAATATACTTCCTACCTTGGGTCATTGTCAGAAAGTTTGAGCGCTACTGTTGTAGAGTTATTATGTAGGTCAGATAAACATAAAAAGTTGTAGAACTTTTTTAAACAGTCTAAAACGCTCTGTAAGCCTAAGTTCCTGTTTAATATTGGATGCTGAAGCAAACAAGTAAGGGATGGTGGGTAAGTGGGATGGGCTGTTGCTCCACCCCTCCAACCCATGGCACACTGCAAATCTGTCACTACATTGTATCCAGTGGAGCCAGTACTCCTCTTTGATATTTTTCAACACAGCCCTCTAGGCCTCAAGATGAAACTTATCTGCAACCCCTACAATAAGCTTATGTATTGTTGGAATACTTTAGGACCAGTCTGGTGTTTTAAAGTACTACTTAGCACTTATAGAGCTCTGGGTCTTGTTTAAACTCTAGGAAAACAGATGTGATCCCTTTGACAACCTGGGGGTCTCTGCCTTACAAGCCCCACAAGGGTTGGCTACTGTCTATGCCCGTCATAATGCTCCCTCTGCCACCCTCCTCACCACCATCTTTATCTGGAAGTGATTTACCTCCTTCTGCCTCTCAAAGGATATCAGACCAAAACAGCATCTCCATCTATTTCCCCTTAAAGCAAAGGTGGCAAGAGTCCCCTCTGCCAAGGCCATGTCCATGGAACATGCTCTTTCCTCATTGATTCCAGTTCATGTGGGAACTGCCTGGAACATGGGGTACATATACCTCCCCACCCCCAACAACTGCCCTAAAGTCATGCCCCTCAGGAGATCCACTGCTTCTCAGTGGATGCAGCCATTCTGATGATCACAGAAGAAACTGGGTCTCTCCCAAGTGAATGTCACATGCAAAACCTTTTCTCTGTAGCATCCAGAGGAAGCCTATAGAATTGGCAGTTCTTTCAAAAGACGTTATAGCCCGTGGACGTAGGGATCTGAAAGGCATGCGTCACAGACTCCTTCACTGCAGTGTGAAGTGTACAAGAAACTTCCCTGTGTAGATTTTAAGTCAAGACTCAACATGACATTCGGAGCCGTGTGAGGAGGAACTCAGATAGCTCAATTTAAAAAAACAGCAGGTTCTCTGGGTTTTATAGACCTTGCTAATGAACGAGTCCCGTGGCCCCTGCTGGACCGGCTCCCCAGTGCTCTGCCAGCCTGTTTCTCACACATCTGTAAATTCATCCAGCTATAATGGATGGCTGGTGCCTGCAGAGGCTGAGGTCTAGGCCTTTCTGTCCGGGATACATAGAGATCTCAAGCCATTAATAATTCATTCTGAAGTAATGAACATAGCTGTACCAAGTTGTGAGCAGTAATAATCAAGTGACAGATCAATTTATTACTTCAGTGTGCCGAAAGATAATGGTCATTAATAATGAAAGGTGTAGCTACGCCCTCCCCCCAAAAAAAAGTTTCCTAAGACTTGGATCAATGTGTCTTTTAAGTTCTAAAATAACATTGCTGGGTAACCTCAAGCTTATTTATATTCAGAGTTGCTAATCCAGAATTACAATATCTTTTTTCCAAATGCCTTTGGGCACTGGGGCCTGCAAATCAGAGTAATTATTACTCATTAATTAAGTCTAAGAAGTGGAACTAGCTCAATACTTTAAAAAGGGAGGTTGGGGGATAGTTGAGATACATTCCCCAAAAATCATCAACAATAATTTGAAGTTTAATGAGTAAGTAGCTGGGTTGGGAATAATGGTTTTAGGCCTACTCAGAAACTCCCCTCATCTTTTAATGCCTCAGTGAATGCTCATTGTGCATCTCCTGTGCCAAGCAGTGTGCTCAGCACTGGTGCTACCAAATGAGATACCATACTTCCTCTTCTCAGGCCTTGGTAGGGATGACAACACTGTAATAAATGCAGGAACAGGCCAACACTTCTGCCTTTTTTGGGAATAGAAGATTGGAGAAAGGTGAGAGGAAGGTACAGAAAGGAATGGGCCATTTGAGCTGAGCCTTGCATATTAGCAGTTTGCCAAGCAAAGAAAGCAGCAAAAGAACATTCCAGGCAGAGGAATGATATGGACAAAGGCAGAGAGGTATGGAAGTGGAATGAGAGTGAAAAGTGGATTAGTATGATAATTACCACATATCCCATGCATTATCACATTTAATCTGTACAACATTCACATGAAGTAGGTATGTTATTCACCTAACCTCTTCTTTTTTTTAAAGATGAGGAACCCAAAGCTTAGAAATATTGAGTCACTCTGCCCAGGGACCAAGAGCTGGGAAGTGGCACAGGAAGGCTTAGCGGTGATTTGAGGAAAGGTATGCTGTTTTATAAGAGTTCAGACTTTGTGTTAAAAATAGTCGGGTAGGCCAGGCACAGTGGCTCATGCCTACAATCCCAGCACTTGGGGAGGCCAAGCTGGGAGGGTCACTTGAGACTAGGAGTTCAAGACCAGCCTAGGCAACATAGCAAGACTCTGTCTCTACAGAAAAATTTAAAAACTATCCAGGTGTGGTGGTGGTAGCTACTCAGGAGGCTGAGGCAGGAAGACCTCTTGAGCCCAGGAATGTGAGGGTGCAGTGAACTATGATCATGCCACTGCACTCCAGCCTGGATGACAGAGAAAGGCCTTGTTTGTTTAAAAAAAAAAAAAAAAGAAGAAGAAGAAGAAAGAAAGAAAAACAGTGGGGCCCATGACAGGTTTACAGTCATCATTATCAGAACAATTAAACAATAAAAGCATTGCTAACCATTCACATATGCCATGCTGTTGTGTTCTCGCCAGGGGAGGTTTGAGAGCTGAGTTTTAGGTGGAGCTGCTGATAGCAGGGAGGATAAAGCTGAAGTTAGAGGTTCTTGGGTCAGGAACCCTAGTTAGGAGGCTGTTGCTTTAGTCAGATGTAGTGTGGAGAAGCCTGACAGGGAAAAATGATTATCATCCAAACCATGTTATTTTTATACTGGTCTACAATTTGAAGGTACTTTCATAAAAAAAAATAGCTTGTTGATTCACTTGCACACGGGACTTTTGTGACAAGAGGGTAAGTTTAATGACTTAGCTCTTTTGGGAGGGGAAGTACAAGGACTTAGAATTCCCTTCCCACACAGAGGAGCTGATGTTGAAAGTAGTGATGTTAAAAGCAGCTTGTAAATACACATACTTGCCGACTGACTGATGCACAGAACCAAAGTTTCTCCCCCTTGCCAGGTCAGAATTTGACTATCTGCATTAACTTCGTCAGACTGGAAATGTGATGTGATTCTGGGTAGAATGGAAAACATAAGTAAAACCAGGAGACTTGGCAAGAACTAAGAAAATGTTTATAAAATATTCTTTATGTGGACCAGAAACAGGCCACTCTGCCTGCTGCAGGTGTTGCTTAGCAATCAAAAAGCAAATCCTCTTTCTAACTGGGCTGTGCCACAGTTAAAGTTTCATAAACCTAACCATGCTCTGCCCACCTTTAGAGGAGAAAGTTAAACTCTTAGCCCTAAAAAAATTATAGAAAAATACACATCTGCTAATAAAATTGGTTGATACAGTATTTCAATAAAGACTCAGTTTAAAAACCAGCACTTAAGGCAGTATAATCTCTTTTCTTCCTTAAAAAAAAAAAAAGTGTATACCAGAGAAACAGTGAGAAACACTGCAGGCATTTATAGAATTGTGTGAAAAAGTACTCCATATAAATAGCACTAAATGCTAGGGAGGTAGGTCTGTGCAAATGCCTATCTCTACCCAATTTGTCTCTAGTTTCAAGTTAGTAATGAATAGCTTCCTTCTTGTAACAGGTGATTTAGGAAAGTTCTTGATATTTTCTCAACAAAACCGAATGGCATTAACTTTTAACTTATTTGTTGCCAGTAGATGATTTATATGTTTTTATACATGGGGCCAGCAAGTGAACAATTGAGTTTTATTGCTGTGTCCTGGTGGCCTGCGTATGGTGTTCAGATACATCTTTTGAGTAGTTGTTTATTCAAAAATATGCCTATGTCTTTAGCAAATTACTCAGACCTAGCAACTGTTGACCCTGTGTGTTTGTTAGACTTTGAGTATGTGACAATATAAACACAGCCATATAGATGAATGTACACTAGTGCATTTTTATTTCTGTTTATGCCACATTTCACTTAATGTGCACCACATTTCACTTAATGTGAGCCACATGTTTAATCTGATCAGCCTTTAATACTTTAAATCTAAAGTGCAGAATTTCCTTACTTGGTTTTAAATATCCAGATCTGCCCGTTTAAAAAATTATGTCTATTTTGTGCTTATGTTTGCAAATGTATTAAAGCCATCAAGAGGTTTTCCATTTGCCATGGAGAAAAATGCAAATGATTGCAGTTTAAGCAGCTGCCAAGTACATAAATTGTAATTAAGAGGGATTAGCAGTTACCTGGACTTGCAAAACAGGGATTCAGATGTTCAAAGGTTAGTAATTTGGCAGATAGTTGCTTTGGTTGGTTGGTTGTTCTAGGCAAAATGGAAATGATAAAGAGTGTCATATCCTGAAATAGCAAATTAACCTGGATGCTGAAGATTTCTGAAATGTGGTAGATTTTCTGACTCCTGTGGCATCTGATGATGTCCCAAGTTCTGGCTCCTACAGGTGAGGAGTCTGTAGATAGGAAGATAGGAAGGGTACAGGGAGGTTGGTATCTCTGTGTACACAATTTCTCTCACTGGTACCTTTTCTTTTCCTTCCTTCCAGTGTTGCTAACAACCACAAGCAGAATTTGATGACGGTGGCAAACCTTGGCGTAGTGTTTGGACCCACTCTGCTGAGGCCTCAGGAAGAAACAGTAGCAGCCATCATGGACATCAAATTTCAGAACATTGTCATTGAGATCCTAATCGAAAACCATGAAAAGGTAATATGTAATTGATCACTTGCAGTGAAGAATGTACTTGGGGGGAAGCTGCATTGGAATTGACCTTCAGAGTTGACTCAGATTTGCATTGCCATCGCTCTTACACTGTCACGATGATGAAGTTGCTGGTGCTGGTAGTGATGGTGGTGATGGTGGTGATGATAACGTAAGGGTGGTGGTAAAGGTGTCAACCGTGGTAGTTACGACGACAACAGCAGTGGTTATGGTGGCGGCAGTGGTGGGTAAAATTGATTGAGCATTCTGTGCCAGGAACTGTGTTAAATACTTTATATATATATTGTTATTTTATCCTCACAACAATTCAATGAAGGAAGTACTCTTATGAGCCTCGTTTTGGAAACACCTTTTGCCCATTTCTTACTTGATTGTTTTCTTACGAATTTTATGAGTTTTTTAAATTTAGGGATATTGAACTTTCTTCACTTGTGTTGCAAATATTTTTACCTATAGTTTGCCTTTCAATTTTATAAATGGGGTTGTATTTTTTATACAGTTTGTGTGCGTGTGTTTTTATGGTCTGTCTTTTCTTTTGGGGAATTGGGGTTCCTAGTCTTTCTGTTGAAGGTTTTCCTCATCCCCCAATTTGAAGAATGTTCATGCAGAGCTGCCCTTATGAAACTGGGGAGGGGACATAAAGCTTCAGTCCTCTGACCCACTTCATTGCTCTTACGCACACATCCCTATGAAGCTTCTCGGAACTTGTGCAGGGTTCCCTAAAACACCATTTGGCAGCAACAAATCTGGATCCTAATAAAAAATGCTGTTCCTCTTAAATAGAAACTTTGCCTAGAATGGCAAATTAATCATGCACAGTAACTCCAGAATCTGACCATGCCTCACCACCTACACTGATAATGTTGTAAGCCACCACTACCTCTTGTCTGACTATTTACAAGAGCCTCCTAATTTGTTTCTTCTACCCTTGGCCTGTCAATTCTGGTATCAGTCACCAGAATGAGACTTTTTAAAATGTTAAGTCAGATAGTATCAATTGTCTGCTAAGAACCATCCAGTGGCTTCCCATTTCATACATTCACCCACATAGTCTCTGTCCTCTTACTGTTACTATCTGATCTCATCTCCTGCATCTCTCCTATAGCCATCTTGTTTCTGCCTTGCCGTTTCTTGGATACCTCAGGCACATTCTTACTTCAGGCCTTCGCAGTTGCTATTCCCAGTGGCTGGAACACTGTTCTTCCGTAAAACCACATGGCATATTTCCTCACTTCCTTCAAGTGTACTAAGTGAATCCTACCTGGATCTCTCTGTTTGAAATTACAATCCCAACCTCCACCATTCCCTTTTCCTTTTATTCCATGTTGTCTATTTTCATATATCAAAAGACAAAATCACAACAAGTTTAAAGATATTAGCTGACTTTTATTTGAGATTCTAGAATTGGGCAGTACCTCGTTCTGTAAAATAGAATGAGTGTTCCAGTAAGCCGAGCAGAGGAGGTTGGCTTTATAGACAGAAAAGGGCTAAAGAAGAGAACAAAAAGCAGATTAATTGTTTTAAAGTTACTTTCCTTGTAAAAGTTAAAGCAGAGGGGACTTCCTTATGTGCTGACTAAAACTGGCCTGCCTGGGGATTTGCCTGTTATCTCTCCCCTCATTTATTGGAAGGTCAGACAAACAACTTATTTTTGGTCTGACGGCGGAGAACTTCAGCAGGAGTGACTGCATTTTGGTTTGGTCTCTTGAGCCTAGGGCAGGAGCTCAGTCCAAACCAATGGCCTCCTGTAAATTTTATTTAACACATGGGACTTCACAAATTATACAGCATATAATAAAATTTTCTTAATGATTAGATCCATTGGCTTTCTGACCTCTCCAAGCATGTGTGCTTCAGGAAAGCAGGGACGTTGTGTTTTGTTCCTCGGTAGACACTAGTACATTGGTTTTGGGTGAATGTGGCAGCCAACCTCCAACATGGCTCCCAGCGATTCTGTCCACCAGTCTTCATTCCCTTGTGTAGCCCCCTCCACCTCTGAATAGAGCTAGCCTATGTGATCAATAGAATATTGCCAAAGCCACGGTATATGACTTCTGAGAACAGTACATGTACGTTACTCTGGGAAGGTCGTCCTTCATATTCATAGGATTTGCTGTCTTTGTGAAAGCAACTGGAATAAGCCATCTTGACTCCTTTTTCAGTGTAACTTCAGGCCTAGCCCAGTATAAAGCAAGGAAATATTCTCTCAGTCTTTTTTGGAAGTCTATGGTGTTCACCTCACAGCAATTCTAAGCATCCATGGCTATGCTCTGGCCTCTGGCTTTCTGGCGACAATACTTTGTATAAACTCCCTGCCAATAGAACTTAACTTTAGCCATCAAATCCAGAGCAATTTTACGTCCTCAGAAGGATGTTGTCAGAGACTTACTCTTTAAAATCCACAGTGTTGGCCAGGCACGATGGTTCACACCCGTAATCCCAGTGTTTTGGGAGGCTAAGGTGGGAGGATCATTTGAGGCCAAGAGTTTGAGACCAGCCTGGGCAAAATAGCAAGACCTCCATCTCTACAAAAAATAAAAATGAAAAATCAGCTGGATGTGGTGGCACATGCCTATAGCCCTAGCTATGGGAGGTTGAGGTGGGAACTTAAGCTTAGGAGTTCAAGGTTACAGTGAGCTACGATTGCACCACTGCACTCCAGCCTGGGTGACAATGAGATCCTGCATCTAAAATAAATAAATAAAATGTTTTAAAACATAAAAATTCATAGTACGTAAGGTCTTCGTTAATATTTACCAAGCATTTCCTTAGACTTGGCTTTAATTTTCTATAATAGAAACATACACAGACACAGACACAGACACACACACACACACACACACACACACACACAGATGTCTAGGGGTGACTATTCTTCTGTCTAGTCTTTAGTGTCAGAAGTTAAACAAAATCCTGAAACCCCACTTGAAGAAATGCTTTCCAGCAGCACCTTTTCATATGAAACAAGCTTGCTTGAAACAAGCCCCACTGCAGGGCTGAAGTATATATCCCCCTTAGCGACTGGCATAGTATTCTCTCATGTTAACATTTTATATAAGGTACTTTGTGCTTCGGAATAATCATTAGGAGGGCTCTAGGAATAAATGGAGCATGGTGCTGAAAAGAAGGTGTGGAAACCCAGGCATCTAGCCATTGGAGCCACTCCATTGACAGAGAGATGGAGAGAGCCATAAGATGCCTGTTTTAATTTTCTATTGCTATGTAGCAAATCATCTCCAAACCTAGTGACTTAAAATAGCAATTATTTTATTACTCTCAATTCTGTGAGTCAGAAATTTGGGAAGGGCTCATGTGTGCCCCTTGTGGCATCAGCTGGGGTGGTTTGACTGGGACTGGAGGGTCCAAGGTGTCCTCACTCCACACAGCTGGGACTTTGGTACTAGCTGTGGACCAGAATGCCTTGATCCTCCTCCACAAGACCCCCTGTCTCCAGGTGCTGTCCCATCATTCAGGAGTCCAGCTCCAACTTCCAAGAGAGTAAACACAGAAACAGCAAGCGCTGTTAAGGCTTAGGCCTGGAACAAAGTATCATTTCTGTCACATTTTGTTGGCCAAAGCAAGTCACAAGTCCAGCCAGATTCAAGGCGGGGGGAGCGAGAAGCCGCCTCTGGGTGGGAGGAACAATGTATGCACAACGGCGTGGGAGGATTGTTGACCGTTATCTTTGCAGGGGATCTACGGTACCCAGCAAGTTTGCATTTAGTTCCCTTTAGGAATGACTCTGCTTTCTTATCAGCGGCTTGTGCTGAGCTTGGGTAGCAACCCAGTGTTTTTATGGAGAGTGCTTTACCACCTTTTCTCTGCAATGCCGCTTTTTATTCAACCAGGGGCCTCAGGCGTCTGGTGGTAGTGACAGTTTTAGCCCTTAAATGCCCTTTGTGAGCCTGGGTGTGGAGAACCAACTCATAAATATCTAAAATTGGAAAAACATTGGCATTAAAGAAAAAGGAAAGAGAAGTGGGTAATTCAGTTTCTTTAACCTGGTAAAACACCTCTTTTTCAATAGAAGGTAAGAGACCTCTGTGTTCTAACTAGCTAAGGCATACAATCTTTTCTGTCTTTGCCTGCGTGTCTTTCTCTTGTTTTCCAAGGGTTAACACTAGACATTCAGCCGAGGGTTAATAGTGAACATGGTCTCCTTTATTTTGTCACTCACATCCACACGCCTTCAAGATAGTACCTGCAAGTCTAGAAACACCCTCTCCCTACAACCCAGAGAATCCATCTATGTCTTCTTCCTGGGAACCATAGTGATGCGTTTCACACACAACTTGAGTTTGGTCAGATAGAACGCACTAGCGACCTGCTTACCCTGTCACAGTGGTCCAGAACCTCTGTCCTCCACCTCTCTCACAGACCTGGGAGGGAAGCAGTGTTTGGCACAGTTCTGGGAAATAAATATCCTACATTAGGAGGAAACAGAGAGGAAACAGCTAGGAGATATGATATTATGTTTGGGAGCTCATGGAATTTTTTTTTTCTATGTTGGTGATACATACTGACTGTTTACTCAATTAAAACGAACGAATCCTTTAAATGAATACAGTCCAGAAATAATAATGATGATGATAGTAATAGCTAACTTTTACTTACAGCTTATTGTTTACAAGATATTGTGCTAAGCAGCTTTATATCCATCATTCAATTTTCACAGCAACCCTATAAGGTTAATATTTTTAGCTCTGTTTTTACAAATTATAAGCCTGAAGCGCAGACACTTTAAGAAGCGGCTGATTAGGAGAGGAACAGGGGTTGAACTTAGTACTACTCTCAGAACCCAAGCTTTCAAAATCTACTCTAGTTAATCTCTGTTCAATGCAGTAAACATTTATTGAATATCTACCATTGGCCAAAGATAAGTAGAATAGGTTTTTCAAAGCACCCCCATTTTATCAAGATAGAACTAACTGTCATACAGTGTGTTAAATGACCTCCAGTAAGATGAATAAAGTGTTATGGCATCA